TTTTTTTTGTGTGTTTTAGTGTTTGATCAATTAGATCTCGTCACATATGAAGAAGTAGTAAAACTACCAGCATTCAAAAGGAAAACACTAGTCTTACTAGGTAATTTTGAGTTATTATTCTGATCAGCTAGTCTTGAACCTCTTGTGGTGGCAGATATATAATTCATTTTTGTGTTGTGGATTAGGTGCACATGGTGTTGGAAGAAGACACATAAAAAACACTCTCATCACAAAACACCCAGACAGATTTGCATACCCTATTCCTCGTAAGTAGTGATACTAAATGTAGTACAAAATTGTATATAGCATTTTTAACAGCATACCCATTGCAGTATTACATGTGTTCAGTTGTACTGAGATGAAGCTTATGCTGAGGATGAGTGAAATGTGATAGTCCTGGATGTATTTCTGTTTTTCTTTTTGCAGAGGGAGAGGTAATTAATAACACCACTTGCACATCAAATATTTTATAGTATTTACAAAGCTTCCTATTAAGCATATTTCTCTTTTCTCCAAATGTCTACTAATTTAGTATGAAGACTGAAATGCACTTTTATCAATTTTACCATGCCTTAATGTTTTAAGTTACTTTTCATAGTCCAGCCTTGAGGACTGGTAATATATTAAAATAACTGCATGTTTCCAGACCTGACAATAAGGAAAAGAAAATGCAATTAGCTTTGCTGCTCACAAGCGGGTTGGTAACAGGAGCACTGGGATGATTGCCTTTGATGGCAGTCTCCACTAATACCACTGCAGGAATTGCATATGCTAGTAAACCATCTGCTAGATATGTACACATTTTTCTAAAATGAAGTATTGTGGAACAATAGCAAGTACCAACTAAATCTGTGCACTCTATTTCAAGCTGATTTCAGAAACACCATACCTTGCTCAGAAATAACATTGATGACCGCTGCATATTAGTATCAATATTTTTATACCTCGTTAGTGCTTTGCTTTAAAATTGCAGATGAGTGTTTTTCTAAGGATTTTGTTGTTGCTAAAAAGCATTGCTAAAAATACTGCTTTTAAGAGCATATCTGT